GCTCTAAGCCACTCAGGCACGCGCGCACACACACACACACGCACGGGCGCACACGCGCGCACACACACACACGCACGGGCACACGCGCAGGCACACGCACGCGCATGGGCGCACACGCACGCACACACACGCACGGGCGCACACGCACGCGCACGCACGCGCACGGGCACACGCGCAGGCACACGCACGCGCACGGGCGCACACACACGCACAGGCACACGGCGCACACACGCACGGGCGCACGCACACACACGCACGGGCACACGCGCAGGCGCACGCGCACACGCGCGCAGGCGCACGCACGCACAGGCGCACGCGCGCACACACGCACGGGCACACGCGCAGGCGCACGCACACATGCGCACGGGCACACGCGCAGGCGCACGCACACACGCGCACGGGCACAGGCAGGCCGCAGGCGGCCCCTGGGGCTGGACCCGCATGGTCTGTGCTGGAACCAGTAGGACAGGTGGTTGCCCCAGAAAGCGGGCCGTTCTGGGCGCAGCAAAGGGCCAGGCCGACCCCATGGGCAAGCGCGCTGGCTGAGGTGCCCAGTCCACCTCACCGAGGGCGGACTAAGCCGACAGCCCGTTCCCTTCCCTGGAAGCCCCCAGGGCCTCCAGCAGACCCCCGCTTCCGGGCCTCCTCGCGGCCACTGCCAGCGCACGCACGAGGGCCACAGAGCATCACGACCGCGCCACGGCCCTGGGGGAGCCCCACGTGCATGGCCCACGGTGGCCGGCACAGTGCCCGGACCCCCTGCCACAGGCCCACCCCAGGGGCCCAGCCGGACACCCTGGTGGCTGCTTCCAGATCGCACCAAATCTGCCGGATTCCAAGCGACCCCTGCCCGCACCTGCCCGCACCTGCCCGCCACCCCCCGCACAATAACACCCACCGAGAACTGGTCCAGCATCAGCCTCCCCAGAGGGGCCCGGCCCCACCCCAGCTGTCGAGGAACCAAGAAGGGCCTTGTCCACTGGGCCTCCCTCACGTGCTGGCACTGGACCCACAGGACAGGGTAACACGACCAGAGGCCCAGACCACCCAAGGGGCCCTGCCCCGTGAGCTCTGACGGGGTGTCTCCCGGGGACCAGAGGGTGGCCTTCAGCCAGAACCAATGCTCCGCCCACTGTGAGGGCTCAGGCACCGGGCAAGCCCTGGCCAGAGAGCCCCTCACTGCCCCCACACCCGTGCTGCCGGGCCCCCCGCCCACGGCCTGCAGCCGGCTTCTTGAAGACAGACAGGAGGGCATGGAGCCTGGGCACGCTGGGGCCCCTGGAATCCCTGAAGGCCGCGGGGTGGGCCGCCCACCTCTCAGGGGGCACACGGCACCTGGCACTGGGCTCCAGAGCGAGCCTGAAGTCCCCGAGGGAACGGGCAGGCCGCTGCCGCAGCTCAGAGGGGAGCCCTGAAGTCCCCGGCTGGCGGCCCTGCCTCTCCCGGGGCTCAGCCCTGTGGGGGCCCGAGGGCGTCACTGCCCCGTGGGGCCCAGGCCAGGGTGCGGCACGGCTCCGCCCCACCGCCCGCTGCCCCGGCCCTCACAGGGCAGGGCTGGTGGGAGCCTCCAACAAACTGGGGCGGGAAGAGAACTGTTTCCTGCCAAGGTGGCAAGCCCTGGGTGTCCAGCCCGAGGATGGGGCACCCTCCTCGTCACGGCTGCCTCTGACGCTGCAGGGACAGCTCCCCAAGCCCTACCCCGTGTGGGGTTCTCCCCAAGGGGGCCAGACCGTGCGGGGCTGAAGCCTGCCAGCCTCCAGGCCTTGCCCCAGGCCACTCGGCGGAGACAGAGTGTGGAGACCCCAGGGCTCCCCACCGGGGGCAGGAAGGCCAGCCGCACCGCCCCGGCGGGAGGGCCCCCAGGCCGCCCCCCAGCCGCTCCTCCCGACTCACGGCCCCCAACCCAGCTGCGCCTCACACCGTGGCTCCGAGATGTCCACCCTGGCCCACGTGACCCGCCCACCTCTGCCCACACTGTTCCTCGCCCGCAGGCCCTCCCCCTCCTCACCTGGCCAGTACCCCCCTCTCCTTCCAGGCCGAGGTGCTTCCCCTCCCCCCCCCGGGCCTTCCTGCACTGTGGACCCCCGGCTGCCCAGGACAGTGGCCCCTGCTCTCCCGGGGCCCCAAGAGCAACCAGGCTGGACACCCACGGGCTTGAGCAGGAGCACCCGGTGACCAGCACGAGGAAGAGCAGACGGCGGGCAGGCTGGGCCGGCAGCACTGGCAAAGGGCATCTGTGGGGTCTGGGAACCGTGGTCCGGGCACACTTTCCCCTCCACGTGCTGACCCTGCCAGCCGAGGCCGTCACCTGGCCGTGCCGGGGTGGCAGTCCCCAGGGAGGCACAGGAGGCCAGCAGGTCAGCAGCCAGGGCCCAGGCCCGCAGGGCCACCGCCGGCCGCCCCAGTCCCGTTGGCAGGGCCTGCGCCCCAAGCCAGGGGCTGAGGCCACTGCTGGGAAAAACCAACATTTCCCCACGGCACTGGGCGGGGGCGGGGGGGGGGGGCCCATTGATTGCCGCACAATGAAGAAGGAGCCTGTGGCAGGAGTTTCCAGGCCCAGCTAAAGGCGACTTTGTTCAAGGCTCCCTCCTCCCCCCAGAGAGGACAGTGATTTATTTTCTCTTCCAGGAGTGGGGCCCGAGACATAAATGGGGCGGCTGGCCCGCATCCTCACCTCACAGGGCCTGGGCCCTGCTCCCGTACGTCCACCTCAGCTGGGGCTGCACGGGGGCCACAGCCACTGCCTGGAGGGGCGGGGAAGGCCCCCTGCGGCCTGGCCAGAGGCCAAGGTCGGCCGGCGCACACGCACCCCACCACAGCCGTCCTGAGGCCCGCACGCCTTCCCGCCGAACCGCACACACAGCGGCAGAACCTTCCCAAAACAGCCCGAGGGTAAGAGGGCACCCAGGCCCTGGGGTCAACGCTCAGCTCACCCAGGGCACGCCAGCAAGGTCCCGAGGACGGGCAGGGACCTCAAGGGCCGGCTGCATTATCCTTGGAAAAGTTCAAACGTGGCCACCCTTAAACAATCTTCCAGCGCTGTTTGTGAAGAGGCCTCAGCCTTTTCCTTCTGAGCCTCTCGAGCTCCCACGGTGAGAAACCCAAATCCTATCTTGCCTCAAGTTTGGAAAAAGCTGTTTAAGACAAACCCACCAGGATTGTGAAACTCTCAGAAAGGGAAACTTTAAAACACGATCTGAGTCTGGAGACACACTGACTCCAGAAAGCGTGACGCAGGGAGAACGGCTTTCCGGAAACAGCCCGGCTCCCCTCTGCACTGGTCTGGCGGCCTGAAGGTCCGCACGCGGCCTCCTTACCCGCAGAGGAGGAGGCACCCAGAGTGACCTTGCGCCTTGCGTCCAGGTCTGGAGGAGAAGCCAGGGCGGTTCAGGAAAAGGGGCTCTTCCCAGCACCCCGCCCCCTGATGCCACGGAGGACCTTGCCCTTGGAGAGCGGCTCTCAGCCCTGTTGCTGCCTGGGCCCTGGCCACTCACAGCCAGGGCGAGGGCCAGCGCTGGAGACCACGCGCAGCCCCAAGGCCAAGGCTGAGGGGAACAGAGCAGGGTGCGGCCCCTCCAAGGGCCCCCTGCCGCCCACTGCCATCACCACCATCCACCACTCTGCCTCGGGCTCTGGCCAATGGCCGGGTCAGGCCAGCGGCCTCCAGGGCTCCGGCTCTGTAGCCAGAGGACAGGCAGGTGTGGGAATGAGGGGAGGCCACGCAGATAAAAGAGGAATCAGAGTCCAGGCCGCCGGCCACCGCGGGGGGTGGGGGGACCTTGCCGGGCATGACCTGAGTGCCCGCAGCGCCCAGGACACTGCCAGGCCCAGCCACGCCTGAGCAGCCCCCACCCTCAAGCCAGCCGGCCAGTCCCCGGCAGGGCAGGCGGGGGGGTACTGTGGCATTAGGCCCACCTGGGCTGCCGCCTGCCACCCAACACCCAAACGTGCCCATATAAGGCCGGGTTGGGCTCGGTGCACCCGCTGGGTGGCGGGGGGAGGGGTGCGAAGCCTCAGAGGACTGGTGGACAGGGCAGGGACGATCCTGAGTGGTCAACACACCCAAAGGGCTGGCCTGGCCCAAGGTCCCGCCTAGCTGAGGGGAGGCCAGTGGGGAATATGGCGGGCGGAGTCCGTGAACATGGATCTCCCATCATCCAACAGCCAAGGATGCCCCTTCTGAGGCTGGGTGTGGGGCAACAAGGGTCGCTCGGGAGACATTCCAGGCCTGCCTACTTGGACGTCAGGTGAATGAGCACGCGTCTAAGCCCTGGCATGGCACGCGCCCGCGGGCCGTACGTAGCCTGAAGCAGGTGGTGCTCGGGGTCTGCCTGGAGACAAGCCCCCACCCGTACACCACGCAGCAACTCCACACTCCGGGGACTTAGCCCCGCGGCCCATACCCTGTGCCTTCCTGGGGGTGGGCCAGCTCAGGGCACGGGGCTGGGTCACAAGTCCCAGACACCAACAACGCCCCCGCTGCCCCCGCTCCGCACCCTGGCCACCACGGGGGTCTCTGAGGATTCCACTGTGGCCAAAGAGCCGACCCCACAAAGGTCCCCAGAGCACCCAGCTACCCTCAACTTCAGGTACACATAGGGGTGCGTGTGTCCTGAGGGGACTGGGGCCAGAGCCTACTCTGCCAGCCAGTATGGGGCCCACAGTGAGCCGGTGCGGGGTGCTGGTGGGTGAGGGGGACCCTGTGGGTGAGCATGGAGCCCCAAGAGTGCGCAGGGTGTGATCTGGAGGTGAACTGGGGGACCCTACAGAGGAGCTGGGGGGACATGGTGAGCTGGGGACGCCCTGTGGGTGAGCTGGGGGCACCCCATGGGCAGTGTTGGAGGGGAACCCTGTGGGTGAGGAGACCCGCCAAGCTCTGGGCCAGTAGGGGCGGGGCGCAGGCACGCGCGCCAGCCGGGCACTGTGGCAGGGTTCAGAGCAGGGAGGGAAAGGGGCGGCGCTGGCCCGGCCGGGGCGCCGGGCTGGGCGCCAGGACTCACCTCGGGCGGCGGCGGCCGGCGGGAGGGCCCCCAGCAGCAGTGGCGGCAGCAGCAGCAATAACGTGGGGCTGGGCGTCATCTTGGCCTGTCCGGACCTGGGGGTGTTGGGGGTCAGTCACTGGCACGCGGGTCAGGGGACGCCCCTCTCTAGGCTAGGGCCCCGGGGCCGCCAGCACCCCAGTCCCGGGCCGCGGGACTGGGGTGCGGGCCGCCCCGCCCTCCCTGCCAGCGCTCCGGGCGGAGGAAGCGGCGGCGGGGAGCTCCGTGGGTATCAAAGGCAGACAAAGGGTTTACACTAATTACCGGCCTCCCCCGCCGCCCCCCGTCTCCAAACACCGTCTGGATTCCTGGCGCTTGTAACTCGGGCCCTGCCCGCGGGACACACAACACCGGCGGCCGCGCAGATAATCGCCTGCGCCATTAGCGGACAAATTTGCGCTTGGGGGGGGGGGGCCCACGTGGGGTGCAGGGGCGGGGGCGGGGCGCGGGCAGGGCCACTAGCCCAGCAGGGGCGGCGGCGGCGCGTGCCAGTGCCCCGCAGCCTCGCCCCCGGGCATCTGGGCCCCCGACCCCCCCCCAACCCCGGACCGGATCTTGGACCCCGGACCCCGGTGCTCCCCAGTCGGCCCTCCCAGTCGGCCCCTTGGGGGTCGCGGGCGCGCGCAGGGGCTCACCTCGGCCGGGGCGGGCGGGCAGCGGGACTCAGGGCCGGGCCCGCGGGACGTGCTGCGCGGTCATCGCCGCCCCGGGCGCCGCGCCCCGGCGCCCCGCGCCCCCCGGGCCCGGCCTCGGGACGGGGCGGCGCTACCTGGGCGCGGGGCGGCTCGGGCCAGGACCGAGGCCGGGGCCGGGGTCGGGGGACAGAGCGGGCGCAAGGGTGGAGTCCAGGGGCCGGAGGCCGGGGCTGGGGTCCCGGGGCGGCGGGGCGAGGGGCCCGGGGCGCCGCGCCGCGAGGCGTCCTTCCCTGCGGGGCTTTGTCAACTCTCCCGGAGCGAGCGCCGAGCCCGCCGCGCGCCCCGCCCCGACACAACTTCCGTCCAATCGACGCTCCCTCGCTCGCCCCGCGCCCGCCCCGCGCCCGCCCCGCGCCCAAACTTTCCCCCAATCCGCGCGCGCGTGCCCCGCCCGCCGGGCTGGCGACCTTAACCCTCGCGGTGCGGGCGGCCAGCGGGCGGGGCGGGCTCCCCGGGGCGCGGCCCCGCCCCCAGCCCGCGCCCTCCGCCCGCCCCCTGCCGGCCCGGCCCCCGGCCCCTAGACCCCGCCAGCGCCCCGCCCCCGGCCGGGCGCCGCCCCGCCCCCCCACGCCCCGCGCGTCTCCGCCACCCCCGCCTGGCCTGTGCCGCCCCGCCCCGCCCCCCCCACCCCGAGCTCTCCACGCTGTTCCGCCCGGCACCTACCCCTCACCTGCACCCACCGGCCCTGCGTCGGACGCCGTAACCTTAGCGCTCCCGGTGCCCTCAGAGCTGGCCGTGGGGGGCCCGCGGGCCGCCTGACCTCCGGCCAGCCCTGACTCCAGCCGGGCCGTCTCCTGGTCGAGGGGCGAACGGGATCGAGACCCAGCCCTGACCCCAAGCGGCTCCGGGACGGGGACGGGGCTGGGGGCGCGGAGCACCGCGGTGCTGCCCCGCTAACCGGCGGCCTTGAGCGAAAGCAGGTAAGTTCCCGCCGCCCACCCGGGGGCCTCAGGCCTGTGACCCACCGTGACAGTAACGAGGACATTAACAGTAACGACAGAGAACAACAGGCGGCCTCCGGAGCCGGGCAGCGGCCTTTGCTGTCACCCGGCAGGGAGAAGGCAGGTGACCTACCCAGGGGTTCCGCCCCAGCGGACCCGGGTCCAGGGCTGAGGCCATGTGCTGTGGGGGCAGCTGTCCTGGGCTTCTGCCCACCCGCCCTTGCCCTGCTCCGCACCCTGCGCGTTCTGCCCGCCTCGCCTCCCTGCCGCCCAGCGCGCCCCCCTCCTCCTGTCCCCCCTCCCCCCTCCCCCTCCCCCCTCCCTCACTGGCTAGCCTCGGCTCCACTGTCACTTCACTTGAATGGAGAAATCACCATTTTTTATATAATTTTTTAAATGTATTTATTCATTTCTTTCTGAGAAAGAGAGCACAAGTGAGCAAGGGGCAGAGAGAGAGGGAGAGAGATGCAGAGCCCAGAGAGGGACGCGAGCTCACCCAACACGGCTCCGACTCCTGAAGAGGGAGACACGGCCTGAGCCGAAGTCAGATGCTTAACCAACTGAGCCACCCAGGCGCCCTGAAAAATCGCCATCACCACTTAAAACAACTCTGGTCCTGCTGTGGCCCCACAGCGGCCTCTAGGTCCCCTCTGGACTTCTGTCCATGCTGTTGCATCAGGAGCCCTGCCTGAAACAGCCTCTCTCCTCCCAGGAGTCCCCTCTTCCAGGAAGCCTTCCAGGAACAATTGAAACTACAGAGGGCTTGGAAACCGACATCCCCAAGGCAGAGGACAGCTGGGCAAGAGACTCCGGCAGCCAGGGTCAAGGCCCACACTGCCCACGCTGCCCACCAGTCCCCAGCCAGTGAGAAGGCAGGTTCCCAAATCCTGCCCCGCCGCTGCAGCACCTTGTGGGTGGGTGGAGGTGAGCCCAGCCCAGCCCTGTCCTGCCGGCCCCCTGAGGGGAGGCCCGAAGGGCAGCCCTGAGAAGCCTTCCTACACTTGGACTCAGGCCCTGCAGACGGGGAGGGGAGCACCGAGAGCTGTTTCAGGGCCCACCTGAGAAGGAGGGATGTGGGGGGGCTGAGCTGGCACGGGGGGTCACAAACAGGTGCTCGCAGATGAAATGGGCGGGTGGGTGGAGGGGCTCCCGGCTACTGCCAAGGCTGCCCTGGGCTTCAGGAACAGGTTTGTGAGGGGGCACGACTGGAGCGTGAAAAGCTCCAACAGGTGTGCAGGCCACCAGAGCCAGGTGTGTGGCAAGGTGGCTCGGATGTGGGGGGAGGCCAGACACAAGGAAGTAGGCTGGATGCGCAGCAGTCAGTGCGGGTGTGAGGGATAAGTGGGTGCTGGGAGGGGTCACAGGCTGATGAGCAGCCCCAGGTGGGGCTGCCGTCCAGGCAGGTGGGCCAGGAGGCGTGGCCCCCACCCCCACGGTACTGGGTAGAGCCCCAGGGAGCTACTTTGGGCTTCCTCCCACTGCCCTGTGTAGTGACACGCTGCCCCCTGGAGGAGGCACAGACCGAGGTGGCCCCCACCAAAGAACACCCAGCTCCCCTTCCCAGCCTCAGCACTTCCGCACCCCGAGGCCACCTTTCCAGGTCCCCAGGCAGGAGCCAGGGCCCAGGCCGCTTCCTCCAGGAAGCCCTCCCACTGACAAGCTCCCACTGCTCCTTCATGACAGCTGGCCTGAAATACCAAACCTGTTTAAATCCCACCCCTTTAAAAATTTTTTTTTAATGTTTTATTTATTTCTAGGAGAGAGAGAGAGACAGCGCGAGCAGGGGAGGGTCAGAGAGAGAGGGAGACACAGACTCTGAAACAGGCTCCAGGCTCTGAGCTGGCAGTCAGCACAGAGCCCGATGCGGGGCTCAAACCCACAAACCCACGAACCGTGAGATCATGACCTGAGCGAAAGTCGGACGCTTAACCGACTAAGCCACCCAG